ATTTGTAAATTTTTCGAACTGATTGGCCAAAGACAATCACTCGCTGTTTGTGCATCAACCGGGTTCGCTGCATCATGTATCGGTGGTAATACTCTCTATTCGTTCTGTGGTTTTGGATTCGGGGATGATGAAGGCTTTAAGTATAATTCTGCTCGAAGAAAATCTGCAAAAACTCTACAAAATCAATAGGCAGATATAGAATACTTAATTTTAGATGAAATTTCAATGGTGGGTCAAAACCTTCTAAGGCAATTCCATACACGCGTTAAAGAAGCAAAACCTAACTGGGATGATACCTTACCATTCGCAGGTTTGAATATAATTTTCTCCGGAGATTTGATGCAACTTCCACCGGTGCTTGATCCACCATTATATCGACCTGGTAAAATTAAAAAAGTAATACATTCAGAAATAGACAATTCAATGCGAGAACGAACCTTAAATTCTTTTAATACTCAATCAGTAGTAAATACAAGTGGCAGAGAATTATGGTTATCAGTAAAGCATGCGATTATTCTCAAAAAACAAATGCGGCAAATAAATGACTTAACATACGCTTCGATATTAAACAATTTACGACATGGATGTCTAACTGCTACCCAATCTAACATTTTATGCGATCGTATAATGACAGAAGATGAGTTGAATTCATCAGAATGGCGAGATGCTGTATTTTTAGTCAGAAGAAATGATTTGCGAATTCAAATAAATCTTGAAGCTACTGTAAATCATGCTAAATATCATAATCAACCAGTTTATTATATTTGTGCTAAAGATACATATAAAAATAAACCTCTCAGTGATAATATAAGGCGAAAATTACTTAGCGTATCGGATACCAAGTCGAATGCGTTGTGTGGTATATTACCATTATCAATCGGCATGAAACTGGCTCTGACCGTCAATATTTGTGTGAATGATGGTATGGTAAATGGTGCGCAAGGCATTTTGCGCAAAATTATTTATGATGATACGTCTATGATAGTCGAAGATATAAACGTTAATAGAGGAAAAAGTATTATTATTGACAGACCTCCTAAATATATCATAATCGAACTCCTAAACCATACACCAAATACGTACGATTGTCTTCCAATAAACCATATTCCAATATATCCTATCAAACAAAAATGCAAATATACGCATAAAATAGAAAATGGCTCAAGCTTGACAAGAGAATTTCAAAGGACTCAATTACCTGTGACTCCTGCTTTTGCGTTCACGGAATTCAAATGTCAAGGCGCTACATTGGATAAGGCAATTATTGACTTAAATGGTGGTAACATAAGATCGGGAGTTTATGTTATGCTATCTCGTGTACAAAGGTTACAAGATGTTATGATACTCCGACCCTTTAACCCATCAAAACTTAATATGAACATAGAACCTGATCTCAAAAAAGAACTTGAGCACCTTGAAAAATGTTCTGAAAGAACTGAACAAATGAATAAATGGCCTACTAACTAACACTGTATAGATTATTAATATGACAATAATGGATTTAATTTTTTACATCACTATTAAAAATTGATGAATATTACTAAAATAGATTACAAACTTCACCTTTCCGTCTCTATAATCCGTTATATTTTTTCACATAATATTTCTTGCAAAGTGAAACTTAATTACCTTGTACAAATAATTCAGTGCGTTCGTAAATTATTTTAAACTCGAATAAATAGTTATTATAAATTTGCAACATTTTCCATTAATTGACACGACCTCCAACAACCATGAATATTATTATTACAAACCAACCAAATACCAACACCTAAATGTAAAACTGTATGTTTCTTTGTTATAACTTTGTTAATTCAAGTCAAAAATGAAACTGTTATTTAATGTTTTTATTTATTTAATTTTGTATGTAAAATTAACCACACGCTTGTTATGTAGATAAAATTTTATTGATCGAATCACACAATATTTGACTGTAGATAAATGAATTTCGTTGTAAATTTTATAAATTGGTACGCTCGATTAATTTTCCTCGATACGGCTAATCAACGATCCATAATACAATCATTAACTCGACTATCTCAACATACTTTGCATGTAATCGTAGTACCTGAACTTCCGAACCGACAATAAACCTGTCCGACACGATAAGTATTAATGTATTTTTTTTTTTTTCTCCAGTTTAAACTTAATCCACTAAAACTTTATACTACACATAATATATTATTACTAATACTAAACTGCGTCATATAATCGATCCATCTATCAAACAACTTCTCCAACTTTAAAAAAAATTTAAATATCAAAAATTCTAAATAAATATTTTACACTATAATTAGTGAGCCAAATTATTTGTAATATCCGTTTATTATATATAATTATATGTAAATACATACGCTTACAAATCGAATTTTATACAAAAACCAGATAAAACACTTGAGTATTAAATTTTAAGCCACAGTTCTACATTTTCTCGATACAATTTGTACTCTTAGACAATTCAGATCGACTTCTAGTATTATGAACCGTGGGCTGAAACGCCTTTTCTTTACCTTTTCTAGACTTTTCAAAATTGCACATGAATTTTTCGTCATTGTAAGCGATAGTTTCTTTAGTTTCACCACTCTCATTTATACCTCCACCAGATTTATTCATATATTCGTCGTGAAAATCATCATCTTCAACTCTTGTATGTCTTGATGAATCAAGATTCCCAATAACTGGATTGGTTACAGACTTATTCTTTTCATTACCCAAAACTGGACTTGCAACTCTGGAAGCTTTAGATGAATTCTCGTTGACGTCTTGATGTGCGGTTAAAAGTTTTGAGTGTACAGATCTATATAATCCTGATGTAGTCTGAGAACTTCCTAATTCAGAAACTTTCCTTTTTAATCCAGAACTAACATCAATGTAAGAAACGTCAACGGCATATACATATAGATCTTTTTCAATAACCTCCATCTGTCCCACAACAAAAAGCACTGACGCAATTGATCGAGTGGAATTCATCAAATGCTTAAATCGAGAATTATGATACGGAAACACAATTTTGACTATGAAACTGTAATTTTGCCCAGCGTAGTCATTAACTAATACATCAATTACTGCATTTTCGTCGTTGATCTCTGTTGGAACACCTTGCATAACACCCACGAGTGAAACTTTCAAAGGACACCTGTTTGAACCATGATCTCTTCTGATCGTAAGATGAGTCGAAGAAGCTACTGTCATCTAAATATGACAAAAATTAAGTAGACATTCACTATTAATAACATACTTAACTAAATATACGTAACCTTTAATTTCAGCCTGCCATTAAAATTTCCAAATACGACTTTTCCACCAACACAATAAAACTCATTCCTTTCGAAAATTGATTGCGTGTTGGGATCTCTCTCCTCATCGTTAATCAGTACGAATAAAACCATTTCCAACTCTCGATCTTCGCTCTCGACGGGATAAAAACCGGTTGCACATATAGTCAGTTTTGAATCATCCCTGAAAGTTTGACGAACTTGAGATATTTTCACAATTGTATCAATATGGCAAGGCATAATAAATAAACCACCACCAAACTATACATTTAATCGTTACGTACTGAATAACCCTTTTATATATATTAAAAACATAATTATATTGTATATACATCATGCATACATCATTCACAAATCATTCACAAAAGGAAAACTAAAATCAAAAAAAAAAAATTACATAAAAATTTTGCACAATCAGACTAAATTTCCCCTGATGCAATCCAAATAAAATTAACTTTTAAAACCGTTAATTATACAAATATAATTCAAATTACCTCTAACATAATAATAATAATATAATAAAATTCAAAGAAAGTTTTAGTTATTTCCAACTTACCTTTTTAATAATTAAAGATGACTACATATACCAACACGATCATATGACCTAGTGTCATTCAGACATCAAATGAAACTCAACAATTTATGGCATAGTAAAAAAAAAAATAAAATAAAAAAATAAATAAATAAATAAATATAAAAAAACCGACTGTATGTTTCATTCGAATTTGCATTTGTATTAATCTAATAATTTTCATAACACAGATCATCTATATTTGTGCTAATCCTACTTTGATGATTATCTCATAATTGCTAATTGCGGTAGTTAATGGAGATCATACTTGGACATGCGAGTTGACATGCAATCAACAAATTGAAAAATGCCTAAACAATGATGCAACCATCGCCCGAGCACATGGTTAAGAACCAGAAATACCTTGGTTAGTACGGCATTCAAATAATACAACATCACGAGGAAAAATAAACGAAGGGCTTGTATGACTTTACATCAGCTTCCAGATTTAGAGCCATAAGATAACCCCAAACTCCCAAATCAGGTACAAATAACTATAACATTAAATAAACGAAGTCACAAAGCATCCATTTGTCACGAGATTATATCCATACCAAACCAAGTTCTATTGAGGCTATGATCGATTTAAATAATTAATTGATGGTAAAATATGAAGTCATAAATTGGTATGATCGAATTAACTAATTAATTGATAAAATGATAAGTATGAGATCATAGAAATACTATTTAAGTTAAAATAGTGGAAAATTATTTGTTTTCCCTACTAACACGACGCTTCGCCATAATTGCTGCCCCGCTACCAGAAGCAATGAAAAATAGATTAAGTAAAAATAGTGGGCAAAGAGTATGGAAATTTGATTTGTTTATTGCTTTGAAAAAAATTAAATCTAAAACAAGTTCATTATCTGATTACCGAAATTTTATTAGTTAACTTTAATTAAAAGATCGAGGTAAAAACAATGAAATCTCACTCTACGAAATTTTGAAAAGTCTGGTCAGTTCAACTAACCCAGATTTTATATTGCATACTCAGACATTAAACCTAAATCAAGTTCAATATCTAGATACCAAAATAATAATAAAAATAGCTTTTAATGCAGAAAAAATCTTAGATCGACATACAGTAATAAAATGTGTTATAAATATGTACCATAAGTAAACATACATATTACATTAAATTTTTTATTATGATTAATCATATTAAGTTCTTTCAATTTGTAAATATTTAAATATCAAAAACAAAAATGTTCACTCATTAGCGTTACCGGTAAATGTAAAACTGCCATTCGACTAATTACAATAAGGGACCATGTGAACGAGTATAATATTGCTAAATTGAAATGACTTAATTTACATATCATAAAATAAAAGCTAGACATAAAAATGTCTAAAAGTTCTACTGACTAATAACATGTGATTTACAATACAAATTATATCTAATAGGTTAAAATATTTTGGAATAGATATTTAAATTAAGTTAATTAAGTAATTGCTAATATCTAATTAAAAGCTTAATAATATACTATACTTAAAACATATATATTGATAAAATCGTTATTTACGATCGTTGTTTTAGAATAACTGCGTCGTGCAACTACCTTATAATATATTTTTAGTATAATAACCAGTTATTATACAGTATATCTCAACTAAAGTTATTATGCTAAATAACATTTTTACAACCTCTAAATACAATTAAAATGAAACATACTAAAATATGTTAAATAGTGCATATGAATATTACACACCTGATCGTACTGGTCCTGCGCGGCATCGCAT